GAGCCGCCGTGCGCGGGCTGGGCGGGGCTGACGGCGCGCGCGGCGGTGCTGGGCGGGCTGCCGGCGGCGCTGGCGCCGTCGCTGGGCGCGCAGTACCTGGCGGACGTGTGCGTGCCGGCGGCGATGTTCGCGGAGCTGGAGGTGGAGTACCGGCCCCCCTTCGGAGCCAGTGCCGTGCTGGCGCTGCACCTGGCCACGGACGCGGACTGACTGATGTCCGGAACTATGCTTCCGATAGTGGTACCGACTCAACTATGACGAACTTGTTCGTAAAGTGTCCTTATGTTATTTGACGTGACCGACTCGGTTCAAAAAAGATGTATTGTAACTTTTAAGTATCACGCATTTTGTATTACCTTTAAACATAAAATCAAAATAAATGACATACTATTCGACATATTTTATACTTGTATATTATTCAGGAGAAGGAACGGGGTGGTTTTTAGCCAGTAAGAGTCTGACACTCCCTTCCGTCTCACCCAGGCGGGAGCAGTCATTCGATGACTTTCACTCCTTAAATCTTTGTTCTTCGATCTTTATTAACTCAATGACGCCCACAAACTAATATCAGCAAAAAAAACATAAAATATTTAGAAGTAATCGCCTTGATTGGGGACAATGGACTCATGTGTAGTACTTTCCGAAGTAGTAACTATTTTCGGTACATAAGGTTCTAACACATTGATATCAGTTTTTTATGGCGAACTGCGCGTCGCAACAGATATTACCTTTATCTCTGCGGAAAATGTCCAAATAAATCTGATGTAACGCGCCTATATTTTTTTTTGAAGGAAGAAATCATGCATTGCGTTTTCCACCTGGGAGACTCTTTACTGACTAACAACCAACACGTTCCTAATTCTGCTTCAAACCGGAGCCCCGTTAACCCGCCAGGTCATCAGTCCTACTGGACACCTCGATGTCGGTCTGGTGGCCTGAAGCGCACGCGTGAGGCCGCGCGCCCCTCCGGTTCTAGTACAGGCCTGAGCCTGTACGGTACTGCAGATGGCGGTCTGCACCTTCGATCTTGATGCCCACCAGATTTTAGATATGAACGCGTGAAGTTATAGCAGAATTGGTGATGATCTTCGTGAATTAGCGTTTGTAGTCACCAAGTATTATCTATAACTAAGTCTAGCCTATATGTGAACTTAATAAAATGAAAGAAGAAATCAAAATACTAATCAGGTACAAATGTTTTAAAAATATACTATAGATGTGCCCATTGTCCCCATACGAGGACACCATCATAAATTCTAATTTCCCGCTAAGCGGAATTGAAAGTATAAGGATATTCTTCAATATTGTGCTAATTGAACTATAAGCAAGCAATAGCCACAAAAAGTTTTACAAATCTTCATAGTAACATACTATAAAACGCCTCTCCTTTCGAAAATAATTCGCATTTCACTTCCTTTTGATAAAATTGATAATATTGCCACCTTTTATATATAGGTAAAAAAATTACGTGTATGGGGACGGCGGATCCAAATGGGTTAAAAGATAGTCCAGAATTTAAACAACAATTGAAGGTAATAAGTATATTTCAGACTAGGTCGTGCTCCTCTAACGGCACGCCGGCCCGGTAACTGCAGGGCTGTTGGCACGCTTGAATAAAAAAAGCCGACGGTGGCGTATTACGTTATGAAATATTATGTCATATTTGATATGAACAATTAATAATTTCTGGGGAGGAGCGTGTCGGGGATGTTATAGAATTAGATACGTCGTGGGAGAAAACAAAGAGACCATTGTAAGTCCATCGATTTATTTTGAAAAAATTAATTCCTCAAAAAGCATATCATACTTGTTTGGACAACAGAACATGATTATGTTAAGGCTTAACACAACAATACTAGAGCGTCTAACTACGATACATACTTATATACAAGACGGCGCCCGAGTGCACAGACTGCACCCTGCGCAGGCGCAGTGCCGCCTGATAAAATCTTATAAAATTAACAATAAATAGATAAAGTATTGTACGGAAGACTGGACTGGCTTACTGACAGCGGAGAGATCGACCATCGTCGCCTCATTGTTTATTTACATTGCTTAGCATTCACTCTGGTGGCCGAGCACTAGTGTGTTTAAATATTTCATTTCCGGACAATTCGCATGCATTGTAGACCTTTACAACGGAGGACTTAGGAATATAAGAACCGATTTCACCAAACTGCAATCTCTGTAAACTTTACATTTTCGCGGAAAATATAGTCATTTAAAAGATTATTTTAATAAACTTGTTTAAAAATATTTTGGATATATTATGTACACTCTGTGTGCAACAGTCTTTGGTTGTAGAGATGGCGGAGCCATTGAATTATATCTCTCATCACAATTTACGATATCTAGTAATATGTATTGGAACCCCACGACGGCCCGGGCCCCCGTGTGGCGTGTACACGTACTAGGAGACACCGACGCTAATTGCTATCCTACGCGATATAAATGATACGGACTAGGTAAACTGGTGTAAAAATTATCCAAAAACTTGTTATAAAATGATTTTCGGAAATGAGTAACTATAAAATACGAGCTCTAACGACGTCGACAATAAGCGCAGCCGCCGCGAGCTAGGCCCTACACACATACACGAACACATCGCCACGACACTGACATCCAGGGGACACCTTAACCTTACCGATAAAAATTCCCACGTAATAAAACTTACATTATGCCGCCCGCTATGTATTAACTAATGAAAAACTTAACTACTCGAAATTGCATCGGAATGAACGTGCGACTAGACGCGTCGTCCTCGAGCGAGCCCGAGCTTCATCATAATGTGTTACGTTACGAGTTCTTTGTCCGATGTAAAAGTACTAAGATTAGTCACAAACGACAACACCGTAAAGATTCATAAAAACGTAGACAGAGAGTGTGGGGGGGGCGGCTAGAGCTCGGAGTCGCGCTCGGGCTGCGGCGCGGAGCCGTTGGCGGAGAGCGGCGCGGCGCGGCGCATGAGCGCGCGCGTGGCGTCGCGCAGGCGCAGTAGCTCGTCCTGTATGCGCGCCGTGATGGCCGCGCGCGTCTCCTCCTCGCTGGCGTTGGAGCTGCGCAACCTGCAACACAGCGCTCGTCACTCGCCGCGCGCCGCGCGCCGCGCGCCCGCCGCGGTACTTACTTGTCCAGCAGGTGGTGTATCTGGATGGGCTCGCCCACGTTGAGGAACACCTGCTTCCGGAACTTGAGCAGATAGGGCTCGGTGTTGGGCAGCACGGCGTCCATGCCCTCGTGCCAGACGGGCACGATGAGCGGCGCGGCGCTGCAGTCGGCCACGAGGCGGCCCACGCCCCACTTGAAGCGGATGTGCTCCTTGTTCACGTTGACGCGGCCCTCGGGGAAGATGTGCACCCACTCGCCGCGCGACAGACGCTCCACGCAGAAATCCATCGCTGGCTGCAAACAGAGCGAGCGTGAGTGGGCCGGGGCGGGCGGGGCGGGACGGGCGGGGCGGGCGGGGCGCTAGGCGCGGGCGGGGCGGGCGGTCCGGGCGGTCCGGGCGGGGCGAGACTGACCTGGTGCACGCCGGCGCCGCGCACGACGGGCACGCACTTGCCGAGGGCGAAGAAGCAGGAGTGCAGCGCGTTGGTGAAGCAGATGTCGTGCGCGGCGAGGGACCAGCGCATGCGCGCGGGCCGCGTCAGGCTCGCCAGGTCCAGCACGCCTGCACACACCGGACTGCTCGACACTCTGCTTGTACTTGTTCAGATCATCAATAGTTCCCATAACATTTGGTCACAGTGACTTGGCCGCATCGAATCTTCATGAGGGGTCACGATCGTGAGTCGTTTTAAATTACTGGAAGTATATCTTTCTTTTAACGGGCTGTAATTTATTATAAGTATTAGTTTTTGCTTTTTACCAGACTGCCAGCTTTCTTTAAACTTATTGAAAAGGTGTTTTTCGCACAAAAGTACGTAACGTAACATCTCCCATATAAATAAAAATGAATTTCCGTTCGTTAGTCTCGCTACAACTCGATAACGTCTGAACCGATTTGGCTAATTTAGGGAAGGTTTAAAAATAAGAGAAAAAATTGTAGGTGGTACGAAGTTTGCCGGGCCAGCGGGTCAGCTAGTTCTTATAATAATAATATCTCCAAGACAGCTGTCATGAGCTGTCAATTATTTATTTATTAAATTGTGAATCAACAGCTACATTACACATTACACAGATTTAGCAGAAAAATAAATATAAATCGGAAAGTGAGTTTGTTTGTTTGTTCCGCTTTCACGCCGTAACTACGCACGAAGCGCTTCGCTTCAAGCTTCCTTGTGCGTACTGCTAAAGAGTGGAATTCTTTGCCAGAGTCTGTATTTCTTGCTTATGGGACGACGTGATACATCGTAGACCGCATCATCGCTTTATACCACTAGGCGAGATAGTGGTCAAACGTCGCTCCATCAAATATAAAAAAAAAACTACTAAACCGATTGCTTTGAATTTTTGCAGACGTAAAGGTAGAAGTCCGTATTAAAAAATAGAAAATAATGGAAAAAAATTGATATTCCCGAGGGAAAACAAAAGTATTGGTATAGATGGCGCGGTATATGTCACATAGGCTACTTTTTATCCTTTTGTGACGTGAGCGAAGCCGCGGGTAAAAGTTAGTTATAAATATATCAAAAACAGTAGGCACACAGCAAGAAAATTATTTAAACAAAAAGTTTGGTTAATACATATTTAAAGAAAAAAAATTACTTAAAATGTCTCCACTTATCATGGTTCTAGCTTTCCTCAGGCTTGAACAAATGATGCAAACAATTTCACTTTCTTTCATCATGCTTGCTACTGATTTAAAATTGCATATATATATTGTCGGGGATAAAAGGCGTGATGTTATGTTATGTATGTATAATGTATATATTATAAATTGGATTTTAGTTAGTATTGCAGTATTAGGAAGCTAGGTAAAGTTTTAGAGTACCTAATCTAAAAGCACGAGTATATAACAATCCAGTAGTTTAAAAAGAGACACAGTCGGGGCCAGTTCGGAAGCTTGTGATGTGCCTCCATTGGTTTTTAATGATATTATTTTTATGACAAAAGAGTTCAATCAAATCAATTGTTCATAATACATATTATGTATTGACCTGTCTTCATTATTGGTAATATCAGATTTCTGGAATGTAGTCTTTAATCAATATTGTACTCATCTGATAAGCACATGTGTGTAGCGATAAGGAATGAGGTATGTAAGTCGAATATCAGTAAGTTATCTGTAAGAGTCAAGTCAATAACGAAGTCATTGTAATTGCAGCCAGTTATCATGGGCTGTCGTTCCATGCAGTCTGAGGGAGCTCTCGAAGGGACACTGCGAGTAAGCAGTAGCGGGTGTAGACTGACCCCAGAGGCCGGGGTCGTCGAAGCACGAGTGGTGGTTGGACACGGTCAGCAGGGGCTGGCCCCGCGGCCGCCGCACCGCCGCCGCCAGCGCCTCGCGGTTGTACACCGTCGTCTTGTTCAGGAACTCTGCAACAAGCACACTTTACTAACTACTCACTTCTAAATAACTTTTTATCAATCTTCAATTAAGTAACAAATCACTATTAGTTTTAACACGTGTTCTAAGTACCTACTTCAAATAAATATCACTCACTAATTTTAATAAGACTATACTATGAGTAATGTATGGTCAGTGACTATGTGTGTCATTCTCATGTTCAAGTTGTACATGTATATAAGTACAATGCGCTTGTTTGGATGGTAGCTGGCTGGCTGCATGCAGTCAGGCTGTGAGTGGTCATCAATAACAACAACTTTTTGTTTTCTGAATATTATGCAGAGTTATATAGCGAAAAAGCGAAGATACAATCATTGCATAATATAAAAAAAGATGAAATCTCAGAGAATTGGGCTTCCTGTAAATTCACTCACACAGTGAAACATAATGTGAACATTATTCCACACTGGTATCTTGTGAGATTGTAATTTCCTGTCACTGGTCGAGCCTACCCATTTATGCCGCAGCATGGCATGGGTCTTTCACACTTTAGAATGGTAGTACAAATATTCAATTATATTTCTTATTGCAAAGTGATTCCAGTTCCTGGTTGTAGTAACTGAAATACTGTTTAGGAGAATAATTGTTATTGCTAGAATGAATACAATATACATAAGTAATCAGCGAGTATTGCTGCAACACTTAACCTTTGATATATATATATACAAATAAGGGTCTTTTTAGAACAGAATAAATTCAGGGACATTTTGATATAACAATACCCATTTGCTTTACATGTTTTGATTTAAAGTTTTTGAATTATCTTTCTCAGAGTCCTTTGTTTGTATTTTGTAGTTTTAGCCTATTTTAGTATTTGTATGTCCATGGATTAATGTTACGTAAGTACCGGTAATCTGGCATGAAGTGAATAGTAAATAAAAAGATTTTGTATAAAGATAGTCGTCCAGAACGACTGGGCCTGATTTTAATAATTATTTGTGTGTTGGAGAGTGTGTTCATGGAGGGTGGCTATCGGCTGTAAAACATCACGCTATGATCAATAGGAGCCGAGCAGAGCAGGTGAAACCGCGTGGAAGCGGCTATAAAGTCTGCTCTACACAAGTGTACACGATTTTCTAGTAGTCGCCGGCTTTCGCGGTTATTCATTTTCGCGCAAGTTTATTATATTATACCTAATAATATAAATAGATATATAAATAGAAATATGTTAGAATACTATTATTTACATAAATAATCGAAAATGCAATTGCTCTAAGGTGGGCTACACAGGTACTGCTTAGAAAAAAACAACAAAAATGGAATAACAAGTGCAGACTTGTATCATCGTTTCAGTAAAGCAAACATTATCTGTTACAATAGAATTTAGAAATATGATAAATAAAATTTTTATCAACATTTATATCAAATTATTGTTTATCACTGTTAATGATCCAACATAGTTTTGTTAATATATTATTGCAGACTGATGTTCTTTGTGTTGGACCTAATCACTTGTTAATACACACCTAATAATAATATTAAAGTGATGTCACTCATTCTAATAAAATGTTTGATTCACAAACAATATTTGTCAGATATTTTTTATTTACTTAGTTATCTTATTTCTGATAGGATTAGTGTTGCCACAACACTAATCCTATAATGTAGAACTAGAATAGTAATACATATTAAAAGGGGCTAGCACATAATGACATTATGCAACCAGTTTGCAGTGAGGTGGATGAGAGTACATGAAGAGATTGATGAATGTAGAGGAAGCAAAAGTGGTCTGCTGGAATCATGTTGTTGGCTTCCCATTGTCTAGCATAATGGGAGACAGGTACATTACATATATATATATCCTTTTATCTGTTGAAATACCTGCTCCCGGTATAAAACACATTATACCCCCTACTTTCAACAGACAAGACAGACAATTTGTGTTTACAGTGGTTGTGAGACTGTTTATTAGTTTATTTGGTTTAATTTTCTTATTTATATACCTCCTAACATTACAATGCAAATGTTGTGTTAGTCTTTCTTATAAGTTACATGTGTCCAGCATTATTTAAGGGTTGAGATTGGAGTGACATTTGTCACTGTTTTCCTTTAACCTTACAGTCACTGTGTAGCCAAAAGGTGGAAGGAGTGACCATACAAAGAAAGCCATGAGTAATAGCTAGTTTAATAGGCACATTTTACATAAAACATAATAGGAAACTTTATATACTAATAACTTGTTTTAAGTTTTTACTACTTTAATATAATATTATACACAAATATACAAGAGTTAATTTTTAGGACATCTATCTCATGATTATGTAGTATCTGTTGACAGTGACTTTGGAATCACGCTTTAACAAAGGTTATATTTTTCTCGATGTAATAATATGCTACAAAGTGGGATATTGAATAAAATAGCATTACCGACAGGTTACGTGCGCTGTAAGAAATACGCAAATAATGAAATGCTGATGTAAAGCAGTTGTCCCCACTGCTACACTACACACCAAATGCTAATTACGCATTTACATTCGCGCAACATGGTTCTAACATAAAAATTAATACCTATGTGAATTTTGCAAATTAAAACTACTAAGTATTAAAATAAATTTTACTGACCTAAGATAATTTTACTAAATAAACCGACGACAGCAACAGTGATAGAGCTCGCGCAGTGCCATAGCCTTCCTGGATTCCGCAGGCGCGGTATAATCCATCCAATATCGTAGCCCATGGTTGGGCTGGAAGCGCACCACACGGCAAAACACTACAATAACATCATTACTGTTATTAACTTTATAAAGTTCCACTCGCAATCAAAAATTCGTGCTATCTATTGTGCGAAATTTACGTATGAAGTATGATTGACTGACTGATTCTACTCAACTGACAATTACTGTCAAGACATTGACAACAATTGTCACTTTTTTAGTCATAACATTGGATATCAAGTATTTTTGCTTATTGTTTTATGTTATTATTATTTATTTCAATTAAATAGTAGAACATTACAGTAATAAAACCAAGGCGTTATACACATATATAAACAGAGCAAGGCATTTCAAATTATAAAAAGAAAAAAAAAGACCTAACAAAACAAAACAAAAGTCCTTAAATAAAACAAACAATAAGAATAAGAAAACCTTACAAACTATGACAGGTTTTAATACCAATAAGCAAAATATAGTTACAATATAAAATAAATAAGACATTTACCCACAACATAAAATAAAATACAGTTATGCATTCATACACTCGCACAACTTCACGCATTCTTTGCACACAATCCTCCAGCTTGACGCAAATATATCAAACTCTGGTGATGATGCCAGAAGATCATTTATCAGTGTGAGGGCACGAACAAGTGGCGAATGAGCGTGTGATATAGTGCGGGTGCTACTAGGCAAGGCCAGCAAGCAGCGGCTGCGGGGCCGTAGTTGGTACCTAGGTACATCAGGGACAAATAGTCTTATCACCTGCGCTACTATTTGTGGGCAGTCGGAATTACGGCGCAAAACTTGACTGGCAAATATATGGAGGATATAATTACGTCTTACTTCAAGAGATTGGAAATTCAGCATGCCTAATAAGAATTTTGTTGGGTATACTTAGATAATAATAATAATTAATAATAATAACCCCTAAACAACCACACGTCCTGATCGACCATCTGATCAAGTGGGGAGCGGACACACGATTACGAAATTACTGGCGTGGCTAACGTGGCTCTGGATACCCATTCAAAATGGAGACTCGTTCAAAGAGGAAACGTATAGGGCCGCTGCCCGGGGGCGATCGCCGGGGCACACCTGGAGATGACGCTGGGTGTTTCAGCATGCGATCCGTCGGTGGTGTGGAGTTGAACAGGCGGGCTCTCATCAACAAACAAACTACAGCCGATATCACTGACGATGGTGGCAGACTGACGGACAGGGCTTGTTAGCCCTGTCCGTTGCCCCCAGGCCCTCTAGAACCGTTCAGTCCAAGCACAGCATCATACGTACCATCCAGGTCACCATCACCATCTTTACCATCGTCACCTATATTATCATCATCACTTCCCATTGCTAATTTGAATACAGTTAATACGAATCCGACCTTGACTGTTGCGCGGGAGGTGTCTACCTTCTTACCCGCGTCCACCAAGGCCGGAAAAACAAGAATTCGCATGAGATAGAGTTTACTCTAAGTTAACCTATTCATCATGCGAACCTACCTACATATTACAAAGTTAGAGACCGACATGACTACATACAGACAACAACTGCATCAACTTTTCTCTCAACAATATCCAGATGTTATATGGAATATATAAGCCGGTAAACGAGCAGACGGATCACCTGATGGTAAGCAATCGGCGTCGCCCATGGACACCTAGAACACCAGAGGCGTTACAAGTGCGTCACCGGCTTTTTGGGGATTAGGAGTTTGAGGATCGTTGGGGATTCAGGGATTGGGGAGATTGGGGAAGGGGAAGGTAATTGGGCCTCCGGTAACCTCACTCACACGACGAAACACAACGCAAGCGTTGCTTCACGTCGGTTTTCTGTGAGGCCGTGGTATCACTCCGGTCGAGCCGGCCCATTCGTGCCGAAGCATGGCTCTCCCACACTTAAAACTTATAGTCTCAGAACAAAGAATTGCAGATCAAAGAAGAGTTATAGTTAGAAACAAACTTTTGTCCCAAGACGAGATAGACCAGTTAAAAGAAGAAGTCCGCATACAATTAGAATTAGAAAATGTCGAAAACCTTAACAATCACAACGTATTAACACCAAACATACAAGAAGAACAATCATCCTCGTACTCTCTATCTACTAATACTACTCGTAATCAGAATCTAACACTCAAACTCTCTCAATCTATCAATCACAACCACACTCTCATACCATACATACGTCTACACAAACTGAGAACTTGACTAAAACAATAGAAAATGATATTGACACTCAAATTGACATTCATCAAAATTTGCTATCTGACGCACATATACAACAACTACACGATACATTTAAAACAACACTTAATTTATATTCCGGGATGAACCCGGCAGTACGGTCTAAACTGCCCAAGCTTAGGTACTCACCTAAACTACAACAACTTGTCAATATATTTAACAAAAATATCTTCATCCAATACACTACTGAAAACACTAAACTAAAAGACGTACACACTTTGATTTACTGCACAGCAGTGGTAATCTCTGAAGAATTGAATTATAAAATCACGGATTACACAGGCAACACGAAAACTAAAACTAACTAAAATAAGCCCGCATGGCAAATTAGGCTAGAAAGAGATACAGAGAAACTTAGAGCAGACTGTAGTAGATTAACACAATACATAAATAACAATCGTTCAAACAAAGTAATTAAAAGAGTAGAAGCTATATTCAGAAACAAAAGATACACTACACACACGAGACACGAAAAAGACAATAGGAAACCGGAAGAATTTTTAGATACTTTGAAACAAAAATTGGCATTAAAAACCCATAGACTAAAACGGTACAAAAAAGCACAAGAACGCAGGACTCATAATTCGACATTTGCTATGAATGAAAAGAATTTTTACAGAAATCTACGAACAAAAGCACAAATAACACTTGATACTAACATAGAATTACCAACAACAGAACAACTCGAGGCATTTTGGTCAGGTATATGGGAAGATGAAGCACAACATAATGATAAATCAGATTGGATATCAGATGAAGCAGCCAGATGGAGTTCATTGGAAGAAATGGACTTTGTAGAGGTTACTGAGTCTGATATAACTAATATCACCGCAAAACTCCATAACTGGAAGTCCCCCGGCATTGATAAGATACACAATTATTGGTACAAAAAATTAGAACCCCTTCATAAAATTTTAGCTCAAAATATAACGGACATCATCTTAGGAAAACAGAACATACCAGAATTTATTGCCACTGGAATAACTTACATGCTGCCGAAAACACAGTATACATCACAACCTTCCTAATACAGGCCCATCACATGCCTACCCACACTGTACAAAATTATAACATTCACAATTACTTCAAAAACCAACAAACACAGAACAACACAACATAATAGCGGAGGAGCAAAAAGGATGCAGGCGGGGCCACATGGGCTGTAAGGAACAACTAGTTATAGATTCGGTGATACATAAACACGCTGCTACCAAAAGTAAAAATTTGCATTGCACCTACATAGATTATAAAAAAGCTTTTGATAGCATTCCACATTCCTGGTTAATACAAATATTACAGATTTATAAAATAAACCCCAAAATTATAGCATTTCTGAAAAATATAATGTCACAGTGGAAAACCACACTTCAATTAAATCATCGCAATAGTACTGTAACAACTCGACAAATAAGTATAATAAAAGGCATTTACCAGGGTGACTCTCTTAGCCCAATGTGGTTCTGTCTCGCCCTTAACCCTCTGTCCCACTTACTTCATCGTAGCCAAGCCGGTTATTGTCTTTCTAACACCACAGAAATACCCACTATCTCCCACCTTATCTATATGGATGACATTAAATTGTATTCAAAAACGGAAAAAGAAATGAAAACACTAATAGATATTACTACAAAATTCAGCAGAGACATTAATATGCGGTTTGGGTTGGATAAATGCAAGACAATACACATCATTCGGGGCAAAATTAAACCAGGAGACTATGCTATAAACAATATTGACGTTATCACTGCTATGGAACCAGATGACTTTTATAAATATTTAGGCTACAGACAATTCAAAGGGTTAGATCATAAAACAATTAAAAACACTTTATGTAATGAATATAAAAATAGAGTAAGCGCATTATGTAAAACTCAACTCTCTAGTAAGCATTTGATACTGAATACCTACGCGATCCCTATATTAACCTACTCCTTTGGTGTAATTGAATGGTCGAAAACTGACATCTACCAACTAGAAAGAAGTACACGCACTACACTTACCAAACATAACAATGTACATCCCACATCCGCAATAGAGAGGTTAACAATTAAGCGACATCATGGGGGGAGAGGCCTTATAGATATCCACCACCTTTGGCAGAAACAGATAACGAAATTAAAATTATTTTTCCACGCAAAATCTAATACAAGCAACATTCACAAAGCCATCGTTACAAACGACACCAAATACACGCCCCTCAATTTACATGAACCAAACTTAGCATACGACGTTAACAACGACCCACAGACACAAAAATTAGAAGACTGGAAGAAGAAAGTATTACACGGCCGTCACCCCCATGACCTTGAACAGGCACACATAGACACCATAGCTTCGAATAAATGGCTTAAAGTAGGTAATTTATTTCCAGAAACCGAAGGTTTTATTATTGCAATACAAAACCAGATAATTAATACAAAAAATTATAGAAAATTTATCATCAAGGACCCTACAATTACAAACGACAAATGTCGCAAATGCCACATCCAGCCAGAGACCATTCAACACATTACAGGAGCATGCACAACACTTACTCAAACAGACTACACTCACAGACATAATCAAATAGCAAACATCATCCATCAGAACCTAGCAATCAAACATAAACTCATACAGGACACAAACACACCTTATTATAAGTACACACCAGAAAACGTATTAGAAAATACCACACACAAACTATACTACGATCGAGCCATTCTAACAGACAGAACCATCCACTACAATAGACCAGACATAACCCTACGAGATAAAATAAATAATATTACATAATTAATAGATATTGCAGTTCCAAATACACACAATTTACTAAAAACTATTGGAGAGAAAATAAGTAAATATGCTGAATTAAAAGAAGAAGTCGCTAGGATATGGAGACAAGAAAAAGTGTATATAGTCCCTATTGTTGTCTCCACCACG